CCCCAAAACCCCAAAACCCCAAAACCCCGAAAGTAGGAATATGAATTGAAATAGAAAATACTTTGCTTTAAAGAATAGGGATTAAACATAAATTACAAGAAAATTATTTAGCAGAGAGGAGGAATGAATCTTATAGTTAAAATAAAAATGAAAATTAATTAATAAAAAAATTAGTAAAACAGAAGTTAACCTAAAATTTACATAGTTCAGGCAGCTATAAATCTAAATTTTCGTATCCACAGATAGTACCTCCTTCAAATCGTAATGTCTCTGATCTCCAGTGCATATGCTATAACACGTTTAAAAGTCTCTTGAACCAAATACATTTTGCTGCAAATTTATTTATTGGTTAAATTCAAGTGAAAATTGACTCTCTGAACAATTGCTATTATTCATTATTATTCTATCCAGAGCCTTCTTTTTGTTAGGAATATGTTCTTACTCTCAAACTCTAAAATGAATTTATTGCAAACTTCAAACAGAAGAAGATATTACAAGGTTAGAAAGCTGCATATCAGAAGGAGTCCTAATGTTTATAATAACAAGTTATTTAGATATACCAACACTTAAATCAAAGATACCTCAGAAGTAAGTAGTTTTGCAAGTCAGAGGCAACAGAAACTGAGTTAAATGAAATCCAGATACATATTGATAGATAACTCAACAGAATTGTCCAAAAAACTCCAATTGATAATCCGGGTTTTCACCAAAGACCAGAAGCAACAGAAATAAGTTTCAAGTGATATTTTCGACAAGTTACAAGTAAAACTCAAAGCAATTGGTATCAGCCCAAACACCGGCATTCAATCCTCTGGATTATGTCCCTGAGGCAAACTCTCACAAATTTAGAAGTTCTTTAAATACAGACAACTCAAGCAGGTAATTTACAGGTACTTAGAACAAGAGCCTAAATCTCTCTCAAAGGGGGCTAGTTTAAGTAGAGAATCAGCAATCTATGGGAAGTATATATTTGACAGGCACCAATGTAATAGCCTTAAATTAGAATTTGTTGAGAAATTTGGAATAGTTGACTCTGCAAGCATCTCTGACACTGATGAGTTGTTCATGTACATGCTTGTTGAGGTTAATCAAATCAGTCAGATCAAAGAAGCGAAGGTTAAGAATTACTTCCAACTACAGATATTCTCCAATTTTTTGCATGAATTCAGAACTTCGCTCAACTCTAATACAGCATCTTAAGAGCTGGTGTGCACACATTAGTACGCAAGAATAGCCGCTTTATGCAGATTACATCGCCATCATGTAGCATTCTTGAGATGCTTATCTGAGATATTTTGGATCAAGCTAAGATTGAATCTGAGGTATTTCGAATCAAAGAAGAAAGTTTCACAATCATCTCGTGATTATAAGAAAACAAGAAAAATTTACACATTAAGTAAACGGCTAAGGGTTTTCACTCAATATCGACATTGAAGACAAACTCAAAGACTTGTCCTGACTGTTAGACTAACCCAGACACAGTAATTGATCTTGAGCATGTTTTTAAACTTGTTGAAGTTTACAAGCCAAGACTTCATCTCAATCTTGATTCACGAGGACTACCAAGAGCATCCACGAGTCCAAATCAAAGATTTCAAATCACTTGAAGAATGTAAAATTTCAAAAAGTAGTTGGAAAGCATTTCAAGCTAAGAAAATTAGCATGTACTCTATTTCTTCACAAGCAGAATCTCTCAGAGGTGTTCAATGGTATCTAAAACAAGCATAATTTCTCTGAATACTGGTCACAACCAGCAGATCCAAGCTTAAAGACAACAAGAAGTATTCAGATTTCACCTAACATCATGATCACTCACTAAGTATTAAACTATCTCATCAGTATATCCAGAGAAGACAAGAAGTTATCATTGGAGCTATTAGAGCATCCAAGCTCAAATCACAGCAAGAGCAAGGCTGGTCTAGATTCTATCCATTTACCTCTAAAATAGTAGAAATTTCATTAAATTTTGTTTAATTTCAAGCACTTGAGCCTGCTTAGGGGTTTTGGGGTTTTGGGGTTTTGGGG